GGCATTGTTGGAAAGTCCTGATTGTACAGTTTCTGTCACCGAAATGTTGTCAAGGTGCACCACGTCTTTATTTTGCTGGTATGTGCTGAAAATCAAGCAACAAAATATGAGACCAGAAATGTGAAACAGAGATGGAGCCGATAAAATCAGACAGGCATTGACTCAATGGAGCGGATGAAGAGCATGTTGCAGGAAAATTCAGAAAAATATAAAAAAAAATGGAGAGAATCTCACAAATTTCAACAAGTAATCTGTGCATATTGATTATTTCTTTTTCAGTAATATACAGCTTTTTTCATTATTCACTTTTTAACATCCTCTTGTTTGGCATTCTGCAGGTGATAAGTGAGTTAATATGCAATATTTCTCCAAAAAGGTATTATTTCTATAAATACCCTTCTGATAGGCAGGTGGGACAGACCTCACCAAATAAAGAGGTGGTGTCTTACAGATTGAGGGCCGGATTTATCAAGATCCAATTTTGCGTGCAGTAATTTGCGCTCGCAAACTGGAATTTTGCGCGAGGGGCTGAACCATGGTTTGCGGGTGATTTAACAAGAGTGATTGCGTAACTGGTGGCAGGTGCAAAACTGTTGGAGACGCCCTATTTAAATGATGGTTTTGCACGTTTTGTGGTTTGCGGCAAAGTAGTTTGTAGTCAGTACAAACTAGTGCATTAAGAAATTTAAATCTTACAGTGACCCCCAACAAAAAAAATAAATAAGTATATATATATATATATATATATATATTTATAAATTGGCAACCTTTATTCCCTAAGGTGGTATGTGCTGCAGTAAAAAAAAAACAAAACAAAAAAACAGGTGTTTTGTATTGGCCTGTGACTGTGGATGAGATCCCCGCAGCATTTGGCACGTTGCTCCACAGGCGCAGGGGGAGAACCCCGACCCCGTCGGACAGCACTTCTGAAAAAACGAGATTGGGAGATCCCAGCTCTCGCTGCAACCGTACGCTGGAATGACCCAGATGCAAAAAAGTGCAATGTTGCAAGGAGTTTTGTGATATCTGGTATTGCGTGGGTCCTCCTTGTGGCTGGCTCCAAATCCATTCGGAGTTCCCCCAACAGCTCCAAAATGGCAATGCTGGATAAACTATATGTTTTGATGATCGTTTCCTCGTTCATTGCAAAAATATTCACACGGAGTGAAAAAATGCGTTCTCTGCGTCTCCTTGCTTTATTTCCATGTCTCCTTCTTGCGACAATAACCGCTGCCATGTGTGCGCAATTACGCATACAGACCATTTGCACCTTCTTTTGAAATGTGTTAAATATAGAGTCAGATACCGTTAGCAAAATTGCTTTCAGGTTTGATAAATCACTTTGCGAGTGCTAAATTAATATATTTACATGTTCTCCTCCCACAAGACGCACTTTAGCGTGTAAACGCCCCATATTGCATATTCATTGCAGAAAAAGTACTAAATGGATCAGAGGCGCTATTTAGCACGTTTTAAAGACCAAATCCTTTTAGCACGCTGTTGATAGATCAGTTTGTACATTTTTTAGCGTGCGCAGTGAAATAGCTCACGTTTTAATACATGCAAACCTTTGATAGATCCGGCCCTTACTCTGTGCTTTTTTTGTGCTTCCAACTGGTATGAGAATGATTTCTATATAGAGAAAGACTCGGTACAGAGTGAGTATGAAGAAAGTTTTTAAATTGTAGTTTTCCATTTATTTAGGGAACATAATAGCTAATACACCATCACCCAAACCCTTAAAAAAATAATAATTAAACAAAATGCCTTAGTTTAGTTTCTCACAATCAGATTTTAGTTCCACCAGACATTGCTGACAACCTCACGATGTCAGATCTTTATACCTTGTTTAATACATTGAGACTCTCTGATGTAGCAGCCTATTCTGTGCTTCTCTATGTTGGTCTGTGTGCTGCACGTAAACAACAAACCATACAAATATTGATGTTTTTTGTTTGTTGGTTTCTCATAACATCTCATAATATGATTTGTCGGGACAGCATCACAATTAAACCTCAGCAGTGTCCTGAAAAAAATTCTGAGATGATAATTAAGCTGCGTTTACAAAGTGCGTTTACAAATCATTGGAGTTTGATATTTCTTCCAGCTATAACTGGCTATCACTTTTTTGATTGATAGCTGTTAATAATCTTGTCATTATAGGAAAAAAAATGTCCTCACCATCAGCTTTGATATAAAACTTAAAGAGATGTCCAGCAGCTGCTGTTTTGTAATATTATGAGAATTAATAAGTGCTAATTATTAAGCAGATTATTCCCTGGCTAGAGTGGAAGCTACACTGCATCATCTGATTTATTTAAGTAAAACTAAAAATCCCAAAGGAGCAAACATTTACTGGTTTAAAAAGGACAAAGACAAACTAGTAGAAAAAACTCCTCCGGGCAAAAAGAGGAAGCTATTATTTAAAACCAATGTAGTCGAAAATCACAAGAGCTTCATCTGGACATTTTTGGGGCCTCCCTACAGCTTTTCATTACAGCCTCTCTACCCTCTAAAGGCTTCCCTGGTAAAATTTGACAGCTTCAGGCGAAAGTAAAATACTTTGGACAATTTAGTTTCTGCACTTCATTTGCCGTTACAACCACTGAGCCAATAATAATATAAGATCCTCTGTGATTTATACAGGTGCTGGTCATAAAATTAGAATATCATGAAAAAGTAGATTGATTTCAGTAATTCCATTTAAAAAGTGAAACTTGTATATTATATTCATACATTACATACAAACTCATATATTTCAGATGTTTATTTTGTTTAATTTTGATGATTACAAATGACAACAAATGAAAATCTCAAATTCATCATATCAGAAAATTAGAATATTGTGAAAAGGTTCAAAATTGATGGCCCCTGGTGCCACACTCTAATCAGCTAATTAACTCAAACCACCTGCAAAAGCCTTTAAATGGTCTTTCAGTCTAGTTCTATAGGCTACACAATCATGGGGAAGACTGCTGACTTGACAGTTGTCCAAAAGACGACCATCGACACCTTGCACAAGGAGGGCAAGACACAAAAGGTCATCGCTAAAGAGGCTGGCTGTTCACAGAGCTCAGTGTCCAAGCACATTAATAGAGAGGCGAAGGGAAGGAAAAGATGTGGTCGAAAAAAGTGTACAAGCAAGAGAGATAACCGCACCCTGGAGAGGATTGTGAAACAAAACCCTTTCAAAAATGTGGGGGAGATTCACAAAGAGTGGACTGCAGCTGGAGTGAGTGCTTCAAGAACCACCACACACAGACGTATGAAAGACATGGGTTTCTGCTGTCGCATTCCTTGTGTCAAGCCACTCTTGAACCACAGACAGCGTCAGAAGCGTCTTGCCTGGGCTAAAGAGAAACAGGACTGGACTGCTGGTGAGTGGTCCAAAGTCATGTTCTCTGATGAAAGTAAATTTTGTATTTCCTTTGGAAATCAAGGTCCCAGAGTCTGGAGGAAAAGAAGAGAGGCACTTCATCCACGTTGCTTGAAGTCCAGTGTAAAGTTTCCACAGTCAGTGATGGTTTGGGGTGCCATGTCATCTGCTGGTGTTGGTCCATTGTGTTTTCTGAGGTCCAGGGTCAACGCAGCCACATACCAGGAAGTTTTAGAGCACTTCATGCTTCCTGCAGCTGACCAACTTTTTGGAGATGCAGATTTCATTTTCCAACAGGACTTGGCACCTGCACACAGTGCCAAAGCTACCAGTACCTGGTTGAAGGACCATGGTATCCCTGTTCTTAATTGGCCAGCAAACTCTCCTGACCTTAACCCCATAGAAAATCTATGGGGTATTGTGAAGAAGAAGATGCAATACACCAGACCCAACAATTCAGAAGAGCTTAAAGCCACTATTAGAGCAATCTGGGCTATCATAACACCTGAGCAGTGCCACAGACTGATCGACTCCATGCCACGCCGCATTGCTGCAGTAATACAGGCCAAAGGAGGCCCAACTAAATACTGAGTGCTGTACATGCTCATACTTTTCATGTTCATACTTTTCAGTTGGCCAACATTTCTATAAATCCTTTGTTTTTATTGGTCTTCAGTAATATTCTAATTTTCTGATATGATGAATTTGAGATTTTCATTTGTTGTCATTTGTAATCATCAAAATTAAACAAAATAAACATCTGAAATATATGAGTTTGTATGTAATGTATGAATATAATATACAAGTTTCACTTTTTAAATGGAATTACTGAAATCAATCTACTTTTTCATGATATTCTAATTTTATGACCAGCACCTGTAAATCCACCACTCTTATTCCTTTTATATAAATACAGTCATTGGTAAAACAAAATATGCTCCCGTTAAAATTCAAAGATTTGTGTATTTTGTAGTTTCTTCTGCTGTTCTCTGTGTTTCCCTGTGATGGATGGATGGATTTTAAATCATAGTTAAGTTCCTACAAATGAGGAGCAGAAACTTGTAACTCAAATATATATTTCACAATGACAGCAGCTACTGAACATTTAAGCTGATCAGAATGCTTTATATTTAAAATTTAAAACTACACACAAATTCAGAGAATAATTACAATTTAACAAACTTACAATAAGACTGAATTAGATCAAGCTAAAACTAAGAGACACAACAACAGAAAGGAACTTGAAGATTTCTAACTGGACTTAAAAGCAAGAGGGGGAAAAAACTATACAAGCAGCAGTAGAGAAAAAACTGGCACATTGTCTAACAGTTTAGGTCCTGCCCTTTAAATATTTTCCAGAGTTTTTTATGACTCTTGTATGAGTATAGACCTTCCTGAAGAAAGAAAGATAAGATTTCATTAGTCAGATCATTCAGGCTTACTGTATTAACAGCTACTGACCACAAACAGAGTTATAACAGTTTTTCCTTCTTTCTTTCTGTAAGCCTAATATTGACAGTATTACCTTCAACACTTACTTTTAATTTAATGTTTGCTCTAATATCTGTTTTAGATCATTGGGATGCAATTCAGCTGCAGCCAAAAAGTGCCCAGCTGGATATCTGTTACGAAGAACATAAATTAGTCTTTGTTCTTGTTGTTATTATTATTTATTGCCAGGTGCATTACACGGCCATGCCGGTTAAACTGTAAAGTAAAACAAAATTGCAATACTTAGTATTATATGTAATTCAAATTAAAACAACCTAAATAAAACAAGACATAAACATAAGCTTTGAATAAGATGCATAGATTTCACTCTTAAAACATCTCTCATCATAACAGACATCAACGTTGAACATGCAGTAAATAGCGTTAGCATATCGCTAATTAGCGGCTACCCGCTAGCATCTTTGTTAGCACTAAACCTTTTTCGGCCAAAACCTAAATATAGAGCAAAACATATCTCCCGTTTGCTTACAACATGTAACATAGACTTACCACGTTGGGCAATAATTAAGGTATGGTCATCTGTAGGTTTTATTGATGAATTTTGCTTTCTTGGTAAAGCTAACGACACCGGAAGCTACTTCCGGTTTGCCGTTCCTTCTACTAATCCCTTCCAAAGGAAACTATAGAGCCCCCTAGTGGAACGGGAGGAGTGAATCCAACATCCCGGCCCCGATGACCTCAACAGATGGTCATCCCAGTACAAAAAATTGGTGAACGACAACCTAGACTTAGATAACAAATGTTAACCAATTAGATTCAACCCTGTCACAAAAAACCTTTGTATATGATAATAATTGGACTTCGAGTAATGACTAACAGTTTAAAGTAATCTTGAACGTGAGATTAAGTCAAAGTCATTCATAGTATAACACAAGCTAAAGGTAGTTAAAGTCTACTCATCCATATTTCCTTCTAGCAAACATAGCTTGTGTATGGGGCGGATGTAAGTCCCTCTATGAGTCTTTACTTGCACTGATCGCACCAGTCCATCATCTCCAATGTTGACGTCTGTAACCAAACCGAGGGGCCATTGACAGCGAGGTGTGGATTCATGCAGGATCAGTACAAGATCTCCAATCTGATAGTTTCTGGAATGGTGGTTCCATTTCTGCCTTTGCTGGAGGTTGGGTAGGTACTCCTTAACCCACCGAACCCAGAAAATGTCTGCCAAATACTGGACTTGGCGCCAGCGGCGACGATACAGATCCTGTTTTACAAAGTGTCCAGGAGGCAGAGGGCATTCTGGTCTCAACAGAAGCAAATCATTGGGAGTTAAAGGCTGACTGTCTCTTGGGTCCTCTGAAACCTTTGTTAGTGTTCTCCCATTCACAATGTTTTCAATGATGCAGAAAAGTGTCGTTAATCCTTCATCATCCAAAATCTGTTGTCCTGCAAGGCTCATGAGAATGGAGCGGACAGAACGAATCTGCCTCTCCCATACGCCCCCCATATGTGAGGCTGCAGGAGGATTGAACTTCCATTGTGTTTCTCGCTGGAGTAGATGCTCTTCAATTCTTTGCTGGTTCCATTCATTTAGAGCCTTCTGCAATTCATGGCGGGCACCTATGAAGTTTGTCCCATTGTCTGAGCGTATCAATTGAGGTGTCCCACGACGAGCCATGAATCGTTGAAGAGCATTTATGAAGGACTCTGTGTCCAGGCTGTGTGCCACCTCCAAGTGAATGGCCCTGATTGTTAGGCAGGTAAACAGACAGCCATATCTCTTCACCTCACTCCGTCCCCTTTTGACATTAATGGGCCCGAAATAATCAATCCCAACATGAGTGAAAGGGGGCTGACATGGAGTGACACGATCAACAGGTAAGTTTGCCATGTATTGAGTACTGATTGGAGCTCTTTGTCTTTTGCAAGGTACACACTGTGCTAGGACTTGCTTCACTGCTGCACGGCCCGAGATAATCCAAAATGATTGTCTAATCTCAGCCAGTACCCTTTCAACTCCAGAATGACCTGTGAGTTTGTGGAAATGCCATATGACAAGTTTGCTGACATGGTTTTTTTGAGGTAAGATTGCTGGGTGTTTTGCTGCTTCAGGTATTGGAGCGTTGGTGAGCCTGCCTCCAACGCAGAGTAACCCATCACCAAGTCGCACTGGATTTAACTTCCTGAGGCTTTCTTCTTTCTTTGGGAATGTAACTTGGGTGCGCTGGACATAGTTGATGATAGCAATTTCCCCCTGCTTCATTTCATTCAGTGTTATTGGTGAGCACAGTCTTAACTCAGTCTTCTTCCGCAGAATATTCTTCACTCGTAAGATCAACGCGATTGCTCGTTTGAGTTTGTACCAGGAAGAATACCTCTGGATGAAACAATCAATTGCTGACTGATTGGTGAGTTTGGAAGACATTGCATATGTCTGACTCGACTTCTTTACCTCTGCATCTGGAGGTAAACTTCCTAGCTCAGGCTGGCAAGGCCATAACTGTTCTTCCTGCCACAGGAAAGCAGGGCCTTTGAGCCAGCGCTTGCTGTTTATGAGTTCTTCAGCAGACAATCCTCTTGAAACATCATCTGCAGGGTTTAGTTCTGTGCAAACATGTTTCCATTGTGTCACTTGTGATACTTCACGGATCTGTGAAACTCTATTTGCAACAAAGGTTTGGTAACGTTTGTCTTCGTTTCTGATGTAGTGCAAGACAATAGTGCTGTCTGTCCAGAAGACAGAATCCAGAAGGGGTAGCTCAAAGCTTTGACGGATCCTTTGATCAAGCTGTACTGCTACTACAGCAGCAGCCAGTTCTAGCCTTGGGATTGTGCTTGGTTTGACAGGAGCCAGCCTATTCCTAGAGAGGACGATATTACAGTTGATGTCATTGTTGCTCACAACTCTGAGGTAGCTAACAGCACCATAGCCCAACTCAGAAGCATCACTGAAGTGATGAAGTTGCATGGTAACTGGAGCTGCAGTAAAATCTTTATGTCTGAGACATCGAGTCACTTGTAGTCTACATAGTTTTGGCAGGTCATCTAACCACCGGCCCCATTGCTCCGCAATATCACTTGGGATGATTTCATCCCAACCTAGCTTCAAGCGACATAATGTCTGAAATAGTGCTTTTCCACGTAAAATGAATGGGCCTACAAAACCCAAGGGGTCATAAATTGAACTAATTGTGCTTAGCAGGCCTCTTTTTGTGCTTGGCTTTTCCTTGACTTTGACGATGAAGGTTATAATGTCATTTTTTGTGTCCCAGAGCAGCCCTAGAGCTCTTTCCAATGATGGATCTCCATCCATGTCTAACGATGGTGCTTGATCTGCACGTTCCTCTGCTGGAATAGACTCCAGGACCTTGGCTGAATTACTTGTCCATTTTGTCAAGCGAAAACCTCCTTGCTTAAGTAGGTCAACCAGCTGCGCTGCTAGATGGATGGCTTGTTCAGGTGAGTCTAGAGATTTTAAGCAGTCATCCACGTAGAAGTTGCGTTCCACAGTGGATATGGTATCTGCATCATACAGATGTGCGTGATCTGATGCACATCTCTTTAATGCAAAACTTGCTGCACTTGGAGACCACACCCCGCCAAAGAGGTGGGACGTCATACGGTAAGTAACTACCTCATCGTTAGGATTGTGGCCTTTCCACCACAGGAACCGCAGCACATCTCTGTGTTCTGGAGTTACATGTATCTGATTGAACATGCCCTCAATGTCCGCCATTACAGCAACAGGCCCTTGTCGGAAGCGGATCAGCACATCAATTAATTTGTTTGTCAGATCTGGTCCTTGATGGATGGTGTCATTGAGAGATAATCCGTCGTACTTAGCTGCACAGTCAAAGACGACTCGCACCTTTCCAGGCTTGCGAGGATGAGTTACTGGGTGATGTGGGAGATACCAAACCTTCCCATCATTACGTTCAAGCGACAATGCTGGGACCTCTTCTGCATACCCTTTATCAATGGTTGACTTCATAGCCTTCACATACTTCTCTTTCAGGTCTGGGTCTTTCACTAATCTCCGTTCCAGTAACTGTAGTCTTCGTGTTGCTAAGTTGATATTGTTAGGCAGTGTCACTGTCTCTTTCTTAAAAGGTATATCTAACACATAGTGTGAGCCTTCTTTGGAAAGTGAGTTTTCCCACAGTTTGATCACCTTGTGGTCATTAATTGACAGATTGTGCTCTTGAGTGGGGTCATCAAGCTTCCAAAATTTTTCCACTTGTGTCTGTAGAATTTGATCTGACTTGAGGAAGAAGGCCTTAGACTTCCTACCTTCTTTGTAATCAATAGGTCCATTTATGGCCCAACCAAGTACTGTTCTGGTGGCATAAGGGTCATTATCACCACCCACGCGGTACTTTTCAGCTCTGAGAAGACGTGGAGCATCTTGCCCAATTACAAGGTGCACATCATTTGACTTAATGCTGGGAATAGGGATGTCCATAAGGTGATCCCATTTTGCTGCCTCGTCAGGCGTGGCGAGACAGCTAAGCCCTATGTTTAATTTCTTAAGTGTTCTCACACCATTGAGTGTGTAAATGTTGCCATCATATAGAGAATCAATCTCCAGATCCACACTTTGAGTACATATACCTTCTCGGCTTCCTCCGACTGTATCAAGGTCCAACCTTGCAGGTTTACCTCTGACCTTGAGTTTCTTGGTTAGTTCTTCTGACACTAAGCTGGTGTTAGCTCCAGGATCGAGTAGCGCATATGTGACAGAACTAATGTTTGTAGCTTTTCCCCTCACGACCACAGGAACAATAGGTAAACAAACTTTACCATTTGCAGCTCCAGCAAACCCACATGTGACATTAGGTGATGTAGCAGGTTGCGTTTGTTGGGTAGTTTTGTTGTCATCAGTGGAGTCCTGGTCTGCTGTTGTAATCTGCCTGTTAGTGAGGTTAGGATGCAGCCATTTGTTATGTTTCTGTCCACAGCCGGGCACATTGCACACCCAGTTGCGTGTGCAAATCTGGGCACTGTGCCCCATCATGAAACAGTTTTGACACAGGTTTTTTTCTTTAACAAATGAAAGGCGCTCAGGTACTGTTAGTGATCGGAAACTTGGGCACTGGTTTAGGAAATGGTGCTCTGAGCATTTCAGACATCTTAAATGAGATGGCTGCTTTGTACGTGTAGATTTATTCTCCTGGACTGCAGCAGCCTTCACATTGGTATGGTAGTTTTGACGAGGTTTCTTTAAAGCTTTGGTAGGAGATGTAAAGTTGTTTGACTTTTCTTGGTTCTTGTAGCTAATCAACCCACCAAAGACTGGATCAGATCTCTTTTCAGCCTCTGTTTCTACAAAGCTGACAACATCATCGAGTTTCGGTAGACGTCCTTCCTTAGCAATGTCATAGTTTTTGTTTAACCACTTGGCCCTGAGATCTGATGGTAGCTTGCTAATTATTTCAACTAATGTGCGGCGGCCACTGAGCTCATCCTCACATTTCATGGCAGCAAGTGTGTCCTTACAGCCTCTCAGTTGGTCTGCAAAGCTTCTGAGCTGCATATTGTCTCTTATCTCTTTAAAGTTCAAAACCTTTTCAACCCAAGCTTGGGAAATAGAATGAGGATTTCCGAATCTAGATTTTAGTCGTTCAAGCGCTTCCTTGAAACCCAAGCTGGGATTGGGGTTGTATAGACAGTGACTAATAGCATCTCGAGCCTTTCCTTCTGTGTATTGGTGCAGACGAGTTAGCTTTTCTTCTGCAGAAACAGACTCTTTATCCACCATTGCAGTGAAAAGCCTCATAAACTTCCAGTACTGGAGAGGGTCACCATCAAACTTTATCATATCTGTTGGTGGGAGCCTCAGAGAGTCTACTTGGGCTTGATATTGCTGCCTTGAAAACTCTAGTAGTTGTGAGATCGAATCATCTGCTAACTGCGCCGGAGACGATTGTGTTATAGTAGGGATTTTTGCAGATTTAGGTGTAGAATGGAGATCTACAGTTAGTGCTTGAATCTTTTGCTGATTATGTAGCATCTGTGCGTCTAGCTCTGCCTTGTGGCGCATTCTCTGGAGTTCCAGCTCAAACTCCTCCTTTTTCAGCCTAAGCATCAGCTCAAAGTTTTCCTCCTCTTTCCTTTTAAGGGTTTGGATTCTTTCTAGTTCTGCTGAGGCAGAATTTTTATCCTCCATGTCAGTTTGAGGTTCACTGAATAAATTCATTTGAGTAGTGACATCCAACTCATCATTAACATATGGAGGATCATCAGCTTCATCTTTCTCTTCTTGCAACCAAGCTAAGGCCTCATGACGCACATCATGTACACTCATCAGTATTAGCTTCTCATAGGCATCAGACTCTTCTCTGTCAATGTCATCAATGAGCTTAGTATGATAACATCTATGTGCCTCCTGAAGCTGTGATAGGGCTAGGTCAAGGCTCTGCAGTACTGACTTTAACTCTTCTGGCTTATTTTGTCTAATTTTTTCATTTGCAGCTGTTATCATCCTAGTTACAGCTGATTTAGCTTGTCCTCTCTTCCTCTTTAGTATTGCAAGTTCTGTTTCTCCTGAAGAATCTTTGGTTTCAGACATGGTTGCCTCGTGTTTAACTTTATGTTACGAAGAACATAAATTAGTCTTTGTTCTTGTTGTTATTATTATTTATTGCCAGGTGCATTACACGGCCATGCCGGTTAAACTGTAAAGTAAAACAAAATTGCAATACTTAGTATTATATGTAATTCAAATTAAAACAACCTAAATAAAACAAGACATAAACATAAGCTTTGAATAAGATGCATAGATTTCACTCTTAAAACATCTCTCATCATAACAGACATCAACGTTGAACATGCAGTAAATAGCGTTAGCATATCGCTAATTAGCGGCTACCCGCTAGCATCTTTGTTAGCACTAAACCTTTTTCGGCCAAAACCTAAATATAGAGCAAAACATATCTCCCGTTTGCTTACAACATGTAACATAGACTTACCACGTTGGGCAATAATTAAGGTATGGTCATCTGTAGGTTTTATTGATGAATTTTGCTTTCTTGGTAAAGCTAACGACACCGGAAGCTACTTCCGGTTTGCCGTTCCTTCTACTAATCCCTTCCAAAGGAAACTATAGAGCCCCCTAGTGGAACGGGAGGAGTGAATCCAACAATATCTCTATAGAAACATGTGACATGGTTTACCACCAAGATTTTAAAACAACCTCTGACAGTGAGATAATATTAATAAAACCATAAAATTGTGTGGTCATCTACAATAAAATCCTATATGCTATATTGGAGGAAATGCATTTTAACTATTTAGTAAGATTTATGTTGATCAGATGGTTTTAAACAAGCATTATATTATTCCATGCTTCAGGACAATGTACAGTAATAACAGTAGTGCTGCAAAAGGACCAGATAAATACCCTTTTCCATGTGGTTAGTCTTTTCAATTATTTTTCTAAAGGAACATCAACTTAAAATCTGGGGATCAAAATTCTGCCCTTCATTAGTTGTCAAAACTCAAAGGAAAAAGTAGTTTTGATACAATCTGAGAGTCGTGAATCTACTTTTCTCCATTGGGGTAAACCCAAAGTTATCTACTCAGTTTATAAGTGTGTGCATGTAGGTGAGATGGGATGGATGGCTGTGACTCTAATACAAATTACTTTGCTTGGTCACTTTAACTGAAAAAGGTGCTTTATTTATTCATTAATTCCATACACTATGCAACCTTTCCACCTTGGTTTGCATGGCGATGTTTTTGATTATCGTTATTTTTCTTGGTAATATTTCTGACATTGAGTTGAAATTGCACTTATGCAGGAAAACTGGCGGACAGATCCAGGACAAGTTAGCTAATCTTGTGATTAAATTGTTTATACTAAAGTGCCGGAATGTGTAGGAAGATGATTTAAGAGCATTGTTTCTCTATGGCTTCATGTCTGACATTGTCATTTAAACAAAAGACTGATTGCCATGGCTAAAAAAAACTGATTTTGTTTAAAAGCGTCACAAATATATACATTTTTATGGATGGAAAAAAAGATAAAAAGCATATGTTGTGATTGGGAGAGGTTACTGCTGTTTATTGGTATATCTACACTAAAACAGAATAACCTTAAGTAAAGGGATTTGTGAGGATTATTTTAAATTTAGAAGCAACAAATGATACCACAGCGACATACAAATTGGGTCTTGGTGACAGCAGCTGTCAGTGGGCTATCGCAGGCTCATCAAATGTGAGGAATTTGCTGAAAGCTGAGCGCTGCACCACAACACTAATGACAAAGTCCACAGAGGAAGAGATGGCAGTTCAACACGTCTGAAACAACAACCGACAAATTCAAATAACAAGCTTGTTCCTGCTTGCATATAAGGGAAAACCCTTGGAATACAAGCATTAAGTGTTGAAATGCTCAATGGCTTGAACACTTAACATAGAGACTTGCAAATATATAATGCTTTAGTTAAAATTAATATCTGAATTTTAGTTTTCATTTATTAGAAATAAAAAAAGACATTTTATTTCCACCAAATTATCACCTATTTTTCTTTCCATTCCTTCTAGTATCATTCCATTTACATTAAGACAAGTTACAGGTATTTCTTAGAGAAACAAAAGGTTATAATGCAGAATATTCCATCTTTGTTATCAGAACTGTAGTATGAGCATCTTCAAACTTTGCATATATCCATAAACATTCCTGCACACTAAATCTGTTTTCCAAATGCTAAACAAAGTTGCAGTTATTTTTACTGCAGTAATCCTGTTTTTTTCACAAAATATGTCAAAGTTTAGATTTTTATATCAAACTGAATAATGCAGCATGGTGCAGAAGGTTGTGTGTATCTTCTTTAATATTACCCAATAAACCTTTCAGGGTCTCAGTAGGTGTATTCTCTCCCAGATGTTCTTATTTATGCACATCCCATCAACCATTCCGTCCCTCCCTCCATGAACGTTTATATGACTCCCTTTTTTTATGACGCCATCCACTGTCTTAATTTAATAAGTAGAAAGGGGAGGAGGTTAATTATCATTGCCACATTTTGTACTGACAGATAAAAAGGACAGTCAGAGACCTGATCCAACTGATATGCTTCTTTATTAACAGTAGGATATGAAAAGTTGCTGTGTGTAAATATTTTTCAAATGGTTTCTTACATGTCTGACAACAAATATTAAGGTAGGAGTGCTTTACAACTTCAAAGCACTACCCATCCACCCTTCAGTGGATGGGTCTTGAATTTCTTTGAGTTCGGCAGAAGAGATTCCTGCTTTCTATGATTGCCACCTCAAGGACAGGAACACATTTCTCAGTTCTTGCAACGTTTGCAACAAGCTTAAGTTTATCAATAGATTTACATTTTTAGCATTATACTGAATTAACCACAACAACTCATTGAAAAAAGGCCCATGAGCTGCATAATATTGTACAGTCTTGCTATTTTGTTTTTTCTAGAATAGAGGGAACACTGTTTAACTCTTTAATGAGTGGTTAATTGCAAAGTATACCTATCTATATTGTGTTTTTGTGAAATAACTTAAACTTTATTTTTAGCCTCACACCCATTGTATAGCCATTTAAAGCTTCCCAATATGCAAAGATCTTAATATTACAAAACATCTCCTTTGCTTTATTGTTTTGTTTTTTTCAAACAATGATTATATGGTTTTTCTGTTGTTTTTTTCTGATAGAAGTGCTGTAACTAGTAACTATGGCTAGATACTATTTATTCAATATTCCCAATACTAGTAACATAATATTGAGCTTCTAAATAGCAAACCCATCACTTGTATATTCTGTATAAATTATAAACAATATGTAAAAATATCTGATAATGAGCAGAAATAAACGACAGATAATTATCAACTCTGGTTAAAATGTTTTAACGTTAAGAAAGATTTCAACTGCCCTTATTTGACCACTGAGTTGATAATTTTAGGTGTTTTCTACTCTTTCTGCCTTGGAGAGTAAAAAACTGTATCCCGCCTCTCACCCGTAGACAGCTAGAGATAGGCACCAGCGACCCCATTTGGGATTAAGCATGTCAGAAAATGGAACTCAGAATGCATAAAAATTACAACGGTAAAATGTTTACCTAGACATGTTACACATCATTGAAAACTTACACTCTCCACAATTCAACCACCAAGTTCATTTTATAGACACATCAAGGACCAAAGCACAATTAACAATTATATATATATATATATAAAAAACAATTAACACAGATATAACATTATTTAAAAATGTAAACATTACAAACCAGCCACAACAACATACCTTTGAAGGCATCCAGAAGCAGTTTTTTAAATCCAATCTTCAATTGCTTAAACTCCATTCGTCCATAAGGGTCCACAGATTAAAAGTTATCCAGCATATTCGTAATAAAATATTTCCTGATGAGAAAATCTGTGACTCTGCACTTTTTGGTTCTTTTTGAGTTTTGAGTTATACTTTTTATTCTTGTCTTTCTGTGTTTTCTTTATGAAAGTCTACATAGCACCATTTTAAAAAGAAAATATATAATTACTGTCAGAAAACATGTGTGTTCATTTGTTTTGACAGGTAGTTCTAACAGAGTGACAGTATTTGACAACTTGAGAATGAAACTGGGCTTTTAAGTCCGTCATATTTTCTTTTTGGCCATCACAGAGAGTGAAGGTAAAGCGGTAATTAGGTCTCTGATAGGTGCATACATTTGGAACTGGAATGTAGTATTGCTTCAGGTTTTATCCTCCAGACAGACGCAGATATGAAGATCTGGATATTTCCCCTTTTGATGTCTGACAGTTGTTTGTTCTGTCCCTTTACTGTCTGGAAGGACTGGTCTTAATTTATGTAAAGTCTTGATTTGTGGTCAGGGCTTTAACCCCATTTATATTAAATGTAGGTTTTATAAAAATAGCCACTTAAATGTCCAAAAAAAAAAAATTATAAATAAGATTTACCATCAATTAAATCTATATTCTTTCCATTTTTTACTCAGGCTACAAGGACTTAATGTTTACCCAGGCGTGCACTTGATTAAAGACACAAATACTCCCAGGACAGGTTACCTGTCATCTGTTGCAACTAATCCGCAGGAACAGAAAATCCTTCACCGTCCAACTCACACCTATGGAAGTCATTTCCTCTCTCATACCTGGCTTGCATGTTTGCAGCCAACCTGAAGCTAAAAATGTGCCAAGAATTATTGTGAACATGGAAAGAATGATCTATTTGAACAGACCTACAGTCTCAGGTGTTTCCCAAAACAAAGTATTTGAATATAAATTCATAAATAAAGCAACAGGAGCATTAAATCTATGAGTTCCTAAATAACAGTTTTTATGTGAAGTCTGTAGGCGTTTGCTCTGCTGCTTTGGAACAGATGGCAGCTGTAACATGTAAATTAGATAAGCGTCACTGAATTACTTCCCTAAAAGGATAGAGGATATTTTACATCACCTGTTGATGGGCTAATCCAGAGTCATACAATCTGTAGGAGCAGTAATGATAACAAAAGGTGCTGCCCCTGCTCTCTGTCTGAGCAGATTTTCTTCACGCCTCACTGCTATCATCCTGTCTCTGCTCTGTTAGCAACCAGTTATGACGAGAGCTTAGCAGCTACTGATGCAGGGAGAGGTTAGCAGCTTTACAGCTGGTCCCATTTCTTCCTCCCACTTCACCGTTTAAACATTCAAGGCTCATGGAGCTCATTTGTAGTACTCTCCACAGAATATGGTAGCATATAGCCATAACATGACAGCTTTAGGTTTATAATAATTTAAGTAGATGGAAACTACTACTGTCTAAATTGAATTTTCTAGAGCATTTTAAGAGTAGATGCATTTTATAAATAAACTAAAATACATGTGCAAAGGGTTTCTACAGTCAATATGCTTACATATGAAATATAAAACATGATATTGATAACAATTTTAAAAAAGCAGTATTTGGCACAAAAAAAAGAAGCTTTTTCCCTTTAAAAAAGAAAAAAATCTAATAATCCTAATAAATTTGTTTTGAATGTTATCCATATGAACATCACTATTTCTTTCTGGTTATTTCTCTCTCCCACCAGTTGTAAAATACTGCTAGTTGGTGCAACACTTTTAACTGCTTGCAACTTTATTTAAAAATTATCTCAGATT